TTCATGATGTTGTTTTCATTTGTTGTCTAAAGACTATTTCTGTACTCCTTTTCCTTTCTTCTGCTACATCCTGACATGAAGGAGATCATACAGATGTGGCAGCAGTTGTACTTAAATCGTACTAATACAACTTGTGGATATTCTGTATTTTTTTTTCCTCTCATCTTAGCTCTGTTGGGGATTGCCATACTCAAACTCCACCTCACTCTCCCTGTGCATTGCACTACTTTGTAGTTGTCTAACTGAATGCAACAAACAGGCAGACCATGGATTTGAATGATCCTCTGTTCCACGCACACCTTTGCTTGCCAAGGGAACAGATCCTGAGAAGAGCCCAGGAGCAAAGAAAGATATTGTTCAGCGGGCAAATTAGGGACTATGGCATGAGCATAACAAGGGGAGATCCTACCTGGCAGTTGAGATGCACCTGAAGAGATGCTGATGCAGAGCAGGAAATACTCCATGTGTTTAATATATGGGGTTTAATGTTTAACCTGAAGTTGAAGGAATTTTTTTTTAATCTCTGTTTAGCAGAAAGATCTTAGCAAGATTTGATAGGAATACTTTCCTTTTGTGCATAGACACCCAATTTCAAAGTTATCTTCCATTGCAAAGGACGATGAAAATAAAATATTTTGAAAAGTTCTGATCAAACAAAATGAAAGTCACCCATTTTCTGTAATTTATATTCTGTGACAAAAACATAAAAATATTTAAGTATTATAATTACTGCAACATAGCATTACTTTTAATTTGTTTTCTGCTTAATTTTTGTGAAGTATTACTGCCTTCAATTTGGTAATTTGGCACTGAAATAATGTTTTGTTGGATAATTGCCCATAAGATGCGTTCTTGGCCCTGCTTCAGATCTTCAATTAAGTCCGAAACTGTGAAGTATCAGGCCTCACCTGTTTGTTCTGTATAGCTGCCATTTTGGGTAGATGTTCATCTTTACAGTGTTCTCACAATCCTGTGACTTAAATACTCTGGAAGACCTGAATTTAGCTTCCAGAGTTTTATGAAAATGATGTAATTTTTGAAAGATTAATGGGATCAGCCTTTGAACCTTAATGTATGTGCTTTCTTAATTGTTTCTTATTTTAAAACCAGGAATTTGTCTTGCAGGAACCGTTTTACAATTGCTTGTGTGATTCAAACTTTCTGTTCACTTGGTATAACATTCCAGTGCTGTCATTCTCTCTCTGATAAGTGGTGCAGGTAATTATTTTTTTTTGTACCAACAGATACATAAAGATGACTTGTCTACATGTATGCTATTATCAGCCGTAGAGAACTTATGATACAAAATCAGAGACGTCAAAGCTTTAATGACTGATCTACCTATGGGACATTTTATAGAAAGGTTTATTTACCTGTTCTAATACTTCTCTTCTCCTGGGGAGGTAAAAGTTCACTTCTACGAAGTCTGACACGCTAGCTTTACCACTGTCAGAATAATCTCAATGAATTTCTTGATTTGTAAGTCAGATTTCGAGTCCAGAAGACAATACAGTTTTTAAAAGTCTTATCTTTTGGGGTTTATTTTATGACCAGCATATCTGGTCAGCCACTGTCCAAGACAATTACAGAGAAATGGTTGTCTTTGTGCACTTCTCATTGTTATTCACCAGCAGGATAGTCATCAGAGGGTCACATTAAAGTTCATTCAATCAAAGCTGTGGCAGTAGCAATAGTCTGCCTCAGGTCAGTTCCTTCTCTTGAGATTTGTAGGGCACTACCTGAAGTTATTTGCGTAATTTTATTTAGCATTAGTGCCTTGATACTTTGTAGCAAAGATTTCAAAGGCAACAAATCTGTATCTAGTGTTCTACCCCAATGACAATCCAATTATCTTTCCCCTTACTGTGTTATTGTAACCATTTGTACGTATCCTCTGGTATCTTCTGAGTTTGTTCTCACTTAGCTGTAATATATATATATATATAAAATGTGTATTGTTATCTTTATGTTAGTGATTATAATTGTGTTTTGTATTTCACTGTTCATGTGATTGGTTGTTTATGTACTTCTAATTGTCATGGGAACCTCTGCCTTTTACTTTGAGATAATCTTTAAAAGTAGTCCCTTGTGCTGCAATAGATGTTTAAGTTGGGATGAGATAAATCACAGCCAAGAAGTATCTATGTTTCTTCATTTAAAGTAAAGGGATCCTAAGTAACCTGTATCTATATCTAAATAGGTTAGTTTGGATCAATCCCAACCATGTCTTGACTTTTTTATCTATACATATGTATAGATGCGCTTACATACATACATATATATATGCGCGTATGTATGTGCACACACACAGGAGCCCAAGCCAGTTCTGTTACTTCCGTTCCAGGATCGTTTGCAGAGACTTTTATGAGACTATTGTACCAAAATAGTTTTAATTTCTAATGCATGAATAAATTTTATATAATGTACACTCCTGGATATTCTGAAGAAGAGATACCTGAGAGAGATTTTTTCAGCCTTGAGGGGGGAACAAAAGGCATGAAAACTCACAGCCATGAAGAGTGTTCTGATTAGGAATGTTTGAAGCTGATGTTTTGGTATCAAACCTTAGACACAAATGATGAGATGATAATCTAGATGTAATTTCTGGGGTAATTCTATTTTGGTGATTCTAAAGAGATTGTGATACATTCTCATTTCTTGGAAGGGGTGTTATCTTATTTAAAATACTAAAAACAGAAATGTATGTAACAAACAGGTTTGAAAGTCATAATTTTATACACTTTAATGGGAGTTATTAAAAAGGTAGAAATATGAGGTAACACTTCATGGAGGAAAAACTCTGAGAAATAAATGGGAAAGCAAAATAATAACTAAAAAAGCAAAAGCAACAAAAAAGTATCATTTACCATTAAAGAAGAAGAATGAATTTGTAAATCAGAAGGCAAAACCAGAGTGTTCAAGAATGGGGAGAAGACATTTCAGCTTGATCTCAGAAACTTTTAAGCAGGGAAAATTCAGCCAATGTTCTCCAAAATGGCCAAGATAAAGATGGAAGAGAAACAAATACTAGATAAACCTCTTGAAGACTGCAGACATGATTAGGTGGTAACAGGATACTTACAGAAGACAGAATAAAGCTCTTACTGTATTGTGCAACAGGCTGAAGAGCTTTATCAAGATGTTAAGTCAAAGAACTTAACCATGACAACAGACAGAATGAGAATTTTCAATTGCATCCTGCCAGACCATATGTAATTTCTCATTTTTAATTTTGAGACATAACTCGCTCAAGTGGTTTAGTGATGCATTCAGAGTACTGTTTTGAGTAATTGCTGGTGTTTATTCCAAACAGTGCAAGTGACTTGCATAGATGATAGAATTTACAGTCGAGAAATTTGTCCTTTTTGAAAGTTGGATTTTCCCCAATTCTTCCCAGAGATAACAAAAGAAGAGGCTTTAACTGCATCTTTGATCAAAGTGTTTTGATATGGTGTCATAGTTTTAAAACAGTTGGAGAAGATCTGGATTTTGGGTGAGATTTTGCCTGTATTTAAATCAGGTTTTTTCCCTAGTTGATTTCTGTGGGGTGCTCCACACCCAGGAGTAGGAGGGATTTTTTTCTTTTTTTTTTTCCCCTTTTCTCTCTTTCAGCAAAGCTTACAAACTGCAGAACTCCCAAAAGCAAAGCAGTTCTGTTCACACTTCTAGCTTAACCAAACAGTCTCTTACCTGCTGCAAGACTTGTGGTTCTTAACTCCTTCTTTACCCAAGTACACAAAAATTCTTTTAAGAACTGGCTGTTTGGCTTACATTCGCTTAACAGCCACAAGCACAGTAAGTATCCAACCAAAACTGCAATGAAATTTTAGCTAACTATTCCCATTCCCATCTGACATGAGCAGAGTTTGGAAAGAAAATTAATTTAGTTTAGCCAGTGATAAATTTAACTGCAAAACATATAGGTTCATGCTGTACTTTATTATCTCATATATTCTTAAGCATCATGTAGGGGAATATATATTTCAAATCCCCCTTAGGGAGAAGCAGTATGATAGGAGTTTTCAGGTAAATTTTAGATCTCTACTCCAAATTAATACAGTTTTGGAATAATCCAAGAAGATTTTTTTGTGGTATTTTTTTTTAAAGGTGCTTTTCGGAGAGAAATAACTCTAACTCCATAGCAGCTCTCAATCTGTAATTTTACATTGTGAATAATATATTTGTTGATAATTTTGTAATGCTACTTAGGTTTGGGACTTCCAGTGTTTTTCTGAATTTTAGGGATAGTGTGTGTTCATTTAGCCGTCTGAGATGATAAAGAGTGGGAACTAAATGTGGGGGGATTTCTTCAGATTATAAAGCAGATCTGTGACTTTGAGTCTCCCCTGCTTTCCATATTTGTTCTGAGAGCAATACTTTGGTGAACTGTCTTTTTTTAGGGCAAGGTTTAAAATTTCAATTTGTTCTTAATTTCTAAAAGCGGTAAGGTACTAAAAATGAGAACATACATGAAACCTCAAACCCTTTCTTGTTAGTCTTACTTTGAACATTTAAAATTTATTTAATTAATGGATTGTGTTTGCAGAATGCTTTGTTTTGTTCTTTATCTCCATCACCGCACTTGCTACCTTAGACCAGTTTTGAAAGCTCTCAGTGCCTTTTCACGTCTCAGTGGCTCAGACAAATGCTTCTCCATCAGTGACTGCTTTTTTTGCTCTCTCTAGCTTCTCTCTTTTGACTAGCCAATGTCTTATCCAGGTTTTGCATGTTTTATTCAATTGAGTTTTGGTTTTGCATACAGAAATGAGAACAATTTATTGTGGTTTTGCTAAAATAAGTATTCAATTCTGTCTAATTTGTAAGGCTATCCTTTTCTCCTTATATTTCTTTGAGTGGACATGTAGGAGAACTTGGTGGTATCTGAGTCGTGGAAATATAAATAGCTCTTAATTTTCATTATGTGGTTATTGCTGTAATATGTAAGATTTCTGAAAGCTGATCATAATCTAACATTTTGATTGTAATTTTTGTTTTTAAAGGACGCTATGAGGAAGTGTATGATAACCAGCTTAACTTGGCCTACTGTTTCAATGCCCCTGAGGACAAATGGTTAAGTAATTACTTTTATGAGCAATGCTTTAACACTGCTCAACTAATAAAAATTGATGGTGGGAAGAGAGAGGCACAAGCACATGCAAATATGGGTTTCATCAATGAGGAGCAAGGTAAGTCACTGAAATAATAAAACTACATTGTATCAGCTTTATGAGGGTCATTTTTGGAAATTTGTGTTTTATCACAGGGAGCAGTATTTCAATATAAAATTGATTTGCAAGCATAATTTAAAAGAAGTTTTAAAACTGTTGCACTTTTAACTTTTTGGAGCAGCAAATAGGAAGGCAAAGTCTATAATTATTCACAGACCTGTTTCCTCTGTTAACATTCCATCTACAGTTGAAAGTACTCAGATGAAAAACAAAACACAGGTTTAAAGGAAGCATTTGTTTAGCACAAAGATTCTTTGGGTTTCACCTTGTTTCCCTTTGCTTGTTTTTGACAAGAGACTGGTAATGCTGCCTCAGGCCACAGGTGTTTGAGTAGGATGGCATCTGTAGTTGCGCAAACTGGGTTGATTGAGGGACACGTAATTCAGTTTAATGCTGCCTTTAATTTACACCTGGATAAAACAGCCTGTATTTTTGTGTTCTCTTTAAAAAAACTACCTTCTGATTCTGTTAACTGAAAATTACAGTTGTTTGTATGTGTCTGCCACATTGGTGTTTGCTTCAGATTGATACTACCACAAGCTCCATTTCTCCATTCATGTATCTGGGAGTCTCTGAAATTAGAAAATATATTAGTATTTTCTATTAGAAAATAACTAGTTTAGTTACTAACTAGTAACTAGTAACTATTCTAGTTACTAGAAAGTAACTAGAATCATAGAACAGCCCAGGCTGGAAGTGACCTCAAAAGATCATCTGGTCCAACCTTTCACGGGAAAGGGAGCCTAGGTAAGATTATTGTAGCGCCCTGTCCAATAGCATCTTGAAAACCTCTAGCCATGGCGGCTTTATGACATCCCTGGGGAGGCTGTTCCAGTGAATGACTGTTCTCACTGTAAATAAATATTACTTTCTTATATCAAGATGAACCTTGTTTTTATATTTAAAAATATACATTACCTTTCATGGCAGAGGGGTTTGTGTGTGTATAGCAGTCTGGGTATAAAAAAGGTGTTTTCCTATGTTTGTATAAAATTCTTTCATGTTGTGGGAAGACAAGCAATGCGTGAGCTTCAAGTAACTGAATAAAACTGATCTTCCAGTTCTAATTCCTAAGTGGACTGGATGCCTAACTATGGCTTCAAATATATGTGACTTGTGTAGTCATTGCATTTTTGTTTTTAAGCTTGACTTTGTGGGTTGAAACCATTCCAACCTTGAGCTCAGCTTGTGGCTGGTTTCTTTTTTCTGAGAAAAGTCATTTTATTTGAGAAGATTCACAGAAATTGAAATATTTTGTGGAATAGTGTAATTCCAGTCAATGTCTGACAGAATGGGTGTGTTTTGAAAGATGGCCTAATTTCCCAGCAAAAACCTGGACATAAAACAGAAAAACTGCAGCCTCTTTTTTTTTTTTCTTTAATTGAAAGATTATTGTCCTGTTTTTTCCCCATGTTCTCCTAAAGCTGAAACATCATACCTTTTACACTGTTTCCTCATTTTTTCTAGACTGCTGGTCATTCACACTGTTTTCCTCTGAACTGTTGCCATATCTTTTTTGCCTGCAACACGCAGAGCTGGATTCAGTTTTAAAATTTGCGTTCATATCGATGATCAATAAAGTCAAAGGATTACTTTTCTTACAAGTTGTGCTTTTATTTCTGTTTTCAGGTATGACCTCTACATTCTTTGTTTCAGCATAAATTCGATGCTCATATTCAGTTCATGATCTCCAGTAATCTCTAAATCATTTTCTGAAGCGCTGTTAACTACCTATTCTGTTGCCCATTCTGGGATCACATTAGTTCTGCCTAAATGCAATATGTTGCTTGTTTTTTGCACCAAGTAGCATCCTGTGTTTTGCAGGTGGTTTCTAGAAACTGTCAGGATTGTTTTGAATTCTGAAGTTGTCCTTCAACATGCCTTCTCTTCATCCTAGTTTTGTATCATTTGAACACTTAAAAAGCATTTTTCTATCCTTTAATTCAGATCTTTAATGAAAATACCAAGTAGTAAACTGGACATAGGACATGCACCTGTGGAATCTCACTGAGTAACTTTTTCCATGCTGACAGTGAACTACTGATAACTGATGCCTATACAGGATTTCCTAACCAATTTGCACTCACCTAAGAATAGTTGCAGGGGAACTGTGCTTCCCTAATGCTTTATAAGAAAGTTATATGACAGTGAGAAATAAATTACTAACTTTACCTACTTAAGTAGAAGATTGCTTTGGTGACATTTGCTCTTGAAGTATTGGCATTGGCTATAATATTTTAATGTTTTCTCTAAATGCTTGGGAATAATCAGTTTGGCTATTTGTTTATTCCAGTACTGTTCCAGGAATTGAAGTTAAGCTAAATCAGTTTCCCAGTCGATAAGATAGCACTTGCTTAAGACTCAACCAGTCACAGCCAAGTAATTTTCATTTTGAGTGAAAAATGCTTAATTAGGTTATCTGATACTCAGTAGAATAAAATGATTGAAGTTGCTGGATTTTTTGCAACCTTTTTACTTGGTCTTTCAGTTACTAAAAAATAAAATTATAAGAAGGTACATAAAAGCAAACATCCCTATCCATTTGTAGCTTCGAAGGCCCATACTGAGTGTGACTTGCTACTGTTATAGAACCACTGCCTAAAAAAATTAACATTTCCTACTTTTATGATGTGTTAAGTAAAAGTTGTTGAATGCTTATGTAGCTTTAAGCCTGTTACAAAAGTACATAAGTAAAGCTATGAAATACACTTTGGGATGCTCAAAGGAGGGAAAATCTTATTTTCTGCTGTAAAATATTAGAAACTTGCGGAACAGAGGCATCTTATTGACATTGGGAAGGAGAGAGAAAGCAAGATGCATTTTCACTGCCCAGGGTAAAGCTCCACTGAGTTTGTAGGGTCTGTCTTTTGCAAATATTTTATTTCCATAGAGAGGTGAAAAAATGAAGAAGCTGAGAGAGTAAGTGTAGGATTTGCTTTGAGGGACCACTAGGAAAAAGACAACAGAAGTATTCCATGCACTTTTTTTTTTCCAGCGAGTGAAAAATTAAATCACAAGTTCTGATTGCAGAATTAGTCTAAGAGCAGATGTTGAGTTGGCATTGTATAGAATTGCATTAGTATTAATGGTGTTATAAGTAAAATTCTAAACATGCTATTTTTTATATTAGAACAGATAGATATAGTTTGTAAATTAAATGGTCTTTTTTTGCTCAGTTATTTATAATGGTGTAATCTGAACTGAATTAGTCAGATGCCCACTTCCTATGGGAATACATATCCATATATGGGATATATACAGGAATATATATATACAGGAATAGATACACATATATAGACATGTATGTGTGCATTAATACATACATATAGGAATAGTATGTGTACCTTTATAAATACAGGGATGTGTGTATAGGTACGTGGATGATGCCTAACATTTACATGATACTTTCATCTGATATAAATCATCATATCTATATTAACTGCATTGATTAATAGTGCAGCCAGGTAGATAGGAGAATTTACAAGAGTGAGAAGTTAGTCTTACAGACATTCATGTGTGTGTCCTTTTAGATGTAAATATCTTTTACCAATTCTTTTCAGTTCTCTCAGCCAATAGTGTATTTTTTATTACCTGTGAACGGAAGCTGTCTATATATGCTTAGGACTGATTGCTTGGGAGTATAAAGTTAAATATGTACTTGTAAAGATTGTTATTTGCCTTGGAAGCAAATCGATAAATTTGCTGGGTAATTTTTGTGTAATCAAATTTAAAGTTCTTTGACTTTCAGCCTGGTCCTAAAGGCTGGATATAATCTGATGTTCATTAATCTTCAAAGCTAAATATTTGAGGTGTCCGCAGTGTAGGCTTCCGTCATGATATTTGGATGCAGGCGATTAGTGGCTGTCAGTACATAGTGGCTGTCAGTACATAAGGGAAAGAAAACAATAATAATTGAGTAGCCTGCTACAGACACAAATGGAATATTCTGCTTGGAGCAAACATGATTTTAGAGGCAGCTCTTTGCAGAATGAGATTTTAACCTCTTCAAAAAAACCAAAAACCCTCTGTAAAATAAGGTCTCTGTTTACAAGTTACCCAAATGAGATGCTACTCATTGATTATTGTAAGAGTGTTCAGGTTATGATCCTGTTTAATTAGCTTTACTCACCCCATAGGTTGTCTTTCCTCAGGGGACTGCTAATAAATTGTTTTATTAGTTTGGTTACTAGTCATTTTCTTATATAGCTATTAAACATGCCGATGTCACTTTATACATGTTGAAAAAGCAATGTCTTTTTTTTTTTTTTTCCTCACATTAAATCCAGCATTACTTGTCATCCAAGTAAGCACAGGCTTTGTGACAGAATCTCAGTTAAGAAAAATTAATTAAAAAAAAAAAAATTTATTCCTGTGCCTTGAATGTCTTTTTAGAATTAATAACAGTCATTATAAATGTGTGCATTTTTCTGCATATCAGAGAATAAGAAGATTATCACACAGTCTGTGATAGTTCCATTATAATAGTGTAAATTCTGCTAAAGTTAATTGTGAACTTCAGGTTTACACTGTTGTATCTTGCAGAAGAAACACAATCTAAGTGTACTGATAAATATAATGGCTAGTGCTGGTTTGTATAGGTTCTTACCCTGCCAGCACTCATCATTACAATATTTGCATGCTTTCTGTTTTGTATTAAATGGTTAACATCTATCATGCATGAAATGATGTAACCTTAAACATATGCATCCCAAAGTTTCAGGTAACTTATGTCAGTAACAAAAGCAGTCCAGGGGAAACAAGGAATGTGTACCTGTAGGAGCTATTTGCTTCAAATAGGTGATAACAAAATTGGATATAATATATTTCTGTATTAATTAAAAGCATAATAAAAACAGATATCTGCAAGTGTACTTGTTCTAAAAACAGCCATCAAGGCCATTGCGAGGAATACAGGTGTTTGTAGAAATGTGTATGTATATACATGTATGTATATGTAC